TGCAGGGGAGGTCAGAGGCCAGAGTTCAGACAGGGGTCAACAGGAAATGGTCGTTCTCCCTTAGCACGCAGGTCCTGACCTCAGCACTCCTCCACTTTTCGTTTCTCTTTGTCCCTTCACGCACTCGCTCCTCAGCCATGCTGGTCAGGACGGGCCCCTCACTTTTACTCTCTAATCCCCCCCACCCCCCCATGCAGCCCTGTATGCCTGGTAATCCCTTTTTTTTCACAACACTGTCATGCAAATAGTTCAGCAACTTTTGTTTCAGTATGATCTGTGAAAATGTACCATTATTTTTTATACTGGTTTTGAAACTGAGCTCTGCACCAAAGTAGATACTAAAGCCTACAGCAAACACACTGTCCATCACACTGTCACTGTTTAGTCAGACCAAAAGAAGGAGGGCACAAAAGTCAAAAAGGGATAACAGGAAGTTTTTCAGTGAGACATTTTATATAATTTTATATAAATGTCTCTCCCTGGTGAAGCACAGAGTCTCTCCAGGGGATGTGGATAACCAGGGGAATGAATGAATATGGTTTGTCTATGAAAAATAACATCTTGATGGTGCCGTATCTGACATTTAGCATATCACGGAGTGAAGGGCATGGTTTTAAATATTTGAGAACCTCCAGCATCAACATGGGAAAAGATGAAGAAATGCAAAGAAATGTCTCCTTACCACTGAAGTTTAAGCCTGAGGCCTTTACATTCTCAATCCATATAACCTAAGTGTGTAAACATGTATGTTTAAACAAGAAAAAGGCTGTAATATCAATATTCACTCCTCTGACCTTTGAAACAGATGATTGGTTTTCAAATGACACGTTGTTTTTATAATCTGTACAAAAAAACACACACACATTATCATTAATTTCCCCCTCAGCATCAGAAAATAATATTAATAATAATAACCAGAAATAATCACACCTGTCAGTGCACGGGACTTATTGACAGAAAATCTGCTGTAGCCCGTAGAGGTGTGTAGTTTGGCATTACAGTAGATTTGAGCCATACAGCGTCACAAATCAGATTTTTACTTTTATTTTCTTAATGCATTAAAGCTCACTTTGTGGGAAACATTTATTATTTATTTATTAAATTCACATAAGATCAAGCTATTCCGATTTTTATTGCAGCACTGGTGCAGTGTTGGCCCTTCATATACATATCACTACACTCCTTACATCTCCATCGTTTCAAGACTCATCTTCTTGAATTTGACGATTCAGGTTATTGAAGCAAAATGAACACGTGTGGAAATGTGCACACCTGTGTGCATAAATGTGCGTGTGTGTGTGCATAAACATTGCACAGTTCCATTTTAATATAAAGTCTGCGTGGTTGAGCAGGAGAGAGAGAAAGAGAGAGAGAGGAGGAGGGTTACTGTGGTGGTCATTAATCATTCAATTACACACCTGTCAGAGTTCAGACAAGTAGGAGAGATGGGGAGGGGGAGGGAGTAACAGAGAGAGGGGTAGAGAAAGAGAAAGGAATGGAGGAATGTGGGGGGGGGGGGGGGGGGGGGGACTGAATGACAAGGGAGAATGTAAAATCTCCACGAGGGTTAAAAAGAGAAAAGGAGAAAGTTTTATTGTGGGCGTGTGAATGAGCTGTGACAGAGGAAAGCTGTTGTACGGTGATGGTTAGTCAGAGGCTGCAGTAAAGACAAAGGACCCTCACGCGCATCATAGAGGGACAAGAGACATGTGAGGACAAGGAAGAGCACGGCAGTAAAGATGCTCTGCTGTTCAACGGGATTGCTTTGGTCAAAGTGAGACATTACAAGGTGCACTGTGGGAGTTATGAAAAGCAAAGGAGGGGGAAAGAAGTATATCGTTATTAATAATTCAATTCAATTTTATTTATACAGCACCAAATCGCAGCAACAGTCACCTCAAGGCGCTTTATACTGCAAGGTAGACAGAGCAAATCCCAACAATCATATGACCCCCTATGAGCGAGCACTTTGGCGACAGTGGGAAGGAAAAACTCCCCTTTTGACAGGAAGGAACCTCCAGCAGAACCAGACTCAGGGAGGGGCGGCCATCTGCTGCAACCAGCTGGGGTAAGACGGTGAATTATTTTTATTTACTGTCTGCACTCCCTGTCTATGTAATGTATCACATTAAATCAACTTACTGTACTACTATCGTGTTAATATAGTGAAGAAAAACTACAATATTTAACTGAGTAACTGAGTTACTAAGTAGTTGTGTGAAGTAATATATAATGCAGATATTTGAGGGAACATTAATAAATCAAACTTTGTTTTCCCGTCCTTGTTTCTTTATATGTGAGCATGTGTGTGTGTGTGTGTGTGTGTGTGTGTGTGTGTGTGTTGCAGTTTCCGTGTTTAGCTGCAGTATCTCAAACGCCTCAGGCCACAGCCATCTGTGCCCCCTCCCACATCCCTGCCTTACGCTCTTCATTTCACACACACACACACACACACACACACACACACACACACACACACACACACACACACACACACACACACCACCACCACCACCACCTCTGCCACTGCCATATATCTAATTTATGGCAGTGGTGAGTGAGTTACACACACTCATGTATGCATAATATATCACATATGTGAAAGGACTATGTGTGGGAGAATGACACGTACTGGCCATGTATGGTTTGGACCACAACTCTATCTTCAGCACTTCTTAAAATATTGCCCATGTGTGTACGTATATGTATGCATGTGTGTGTGATATAGAGAATCACTACAAATGTGATTCAGTGTGTATCGCAGCATTTCTTGCTCTGTCCACCAACTATCACATACTGATAGTATGTGTAAAGAAAAAGTGCGTGTGTGTGTGTGTGTGTGTGTGTGTGTGTGTGTGTGTGTGTGTGTGTGTGTGTGTGTGTGTGTGTGTGTAAAGGCCCAGCTGTTTCTGGGCTTGCCATCCACATGCAGGCAGAATGCCAGATGTCTCATTAGGCAAATTTGATTGGCTCGGTCATTTAGAATGCAGCAATGAGAGGGTTCCATATGTGCATGTACATGGAGCTGTGTGTGTACATTTACATGAGAGGCCCTCTGCATAACTATTCACATGTGTACACGCTCAATGTATGTGCATTTATTAAGTATTGTGGTAACATTTGAATTTACAAGCTGTTAATTATATTATAACAACAAAAATAGCAATGTAATAGCATAAATGTATCATGAATCATAGGAAAATGTACAAGAACAATAGCTACAGACTGTAGATTAAATTACAATAATGAATTTAAATTCTACTTCAGTTCTTACAAGAATTCAACTGTCTTTTCCACCTTTTTTTTTGATTTAGCATTTTTATTAAGTTTTATTTATACAGCATCAATTCAAAGCACTTTATATTGTAAAGTTCCTACAATAACTGAAAGAAACCACAACCATCACATGACCCCCTATAAGCAAGCACTTGGCAACAGTGGGAAAGAAAAACTTCCTTTTAACAGGAACAAACCTGCAGGAGACTCGGGCTCAGGGAGGTGCAGCCATTAGCCGCAACCAGTTCGTGGTAAGGGGAACAAGAAGAGAGCAGAGGAAGACAGGATGAAAGGTAAACTATGGGAGAAAAAGCCAGAGTTTAATAATAACTAATGATTAAATACAGAGTGGTGTATAAACATAGAAAGCAAAAAAAGATGAGCGAAGAAGAAATCATGGGAAACCCCTAGGAGCCGAGGCCTCCTGAGCCGATGACTCCTTTTATTTTAATTTTTAACTGTGCTATTTTTCCACTAAGTCTACTTTAAGTGAGATGCTTCAGCCTTAATTTTTAGTTTATTAATAGCCACTTCTTAAAGTCTTAACCAATTGACAACCCCGAAGACTAAAAAATAGCTGATGTACCAAAAACTAGATTTTTGAATGACCACTTGAGGGTGGCTCCAAAAGTGAACCACAAACTGCCATGTGAAATGCCAAACTTTATACAGCAGATTTAATGTGTTTTCAGCTGTATGGGTTTCAGAAGCTGCATTTTAGAAGTAGACTGTAGAGGCTCTAACTTACTTACTTACTTACTTTAAATTGTGCGATATTAGGCCTGTGGCCACTTCCTGACTGGGCTCACCTCAACTTATTTAAGTCAATAAAGTCTTTGCACTTTTCAGTGCAACAGTTTAACAAATGAATTGACTTTAACAGCAGTGACGCAAATTTGGTAAATTTGGTTCTAGTATCTTATGTGTATACGTCTTAGCACTCACGAGCAGTTTCTGTGTAATGCATTAATCCTGTCTATGGATGCACCTTACAAACCAAGTTAGCATTAGCTGACAGCTTACCCCCAACCCCCCATGCCCAGTGCTGAACCGTCACCTGTCACTCTGTTTTTACAGGTGCTTTAACTTGACTTACACATTTAATGTCAATGACTAGCCTAACGTACCTCCTTTCAAGTCTCCTTTCAAGAACCTCTTCGAATGTGACTTGCAACTATCTTTTCATTATCACTTCAACTGCAACTTTTACAGACATGCCATCTCCCTTACATATATGCAAATTTGGTTTTGACTCCTTCCTTTCAGTCTTGTAATTTCAGTTGTCATTTTCAGCTTTGTCTCATGACCAATGATTTATTCCTTACTTACCTGTTTGGTGCTATAGCTTCTGCTTCTGCTAAAGATTATACTGTGCCAAAAGAGGCACACTATCACTAGTACTAGTAGTGGTAGCACAGTGATTTTAACTTATGTAACTTAGTTTAGTTTCAGCTTCCTCTTCAAGAAAGCTCCAAAGCCACCCACCAATCAAGGGGCTAAAAGCTGTTCATAACAGAGAAGGTTGAATGCTGCCCTCTAGTGGCCCAAACTGCGGATGAACTTTACTGTAGTGTAGAGATAAGTGATAATGGTGCTACTGTAATTGCTTTTTGTGGGGAGTCTGTGGATTTAAAGTGTTTGTGCATTACTGTGGAGACCAGAAACAACATAGCACATGCCTTTGCAGCAAAATGCTGTTAGAAAAGAGCCTGAGACAGAATTGAGAAAATCAAATGATTCAGTTTTATTTATTGATTAGTTTAATTTATTGCCACTTTAGGACGAAAGGAAAAGACATGCCCATAGCATTGTCAAAATGTTACTGTTAACACCATTTAACGCTATTAACAAAATTAATAAAGTTAGCAACAAGTCCAAGTAGATTTTAGCATTTCATCCTGGAGCAAGCTTCTGCAATAATAATAATAATAATAATAATAATAATAATAATAATAATAATAATAATAATAATAATAATAATAATAATAATAATAAACTCTACGAGCAACACAAAGTGGGACTGCATTTACCTGAAAATAGCCGTCTGTTGTAGGCGGTGCTAAAAAGAGCAGAATAAACTGTACAACCTAAGCAGACTTTTTTAGACCTTAATGACTTCACTCTTTTGGCAGGCTACTGCTTTAATATGACCACATTTAAAAATGTCGAATGATACAAGTTTAAATTAATCAGCATGAAGGATTCCAACCCAGGGCACAGCTTACAAAATGCAACCGCTTCCTGGTCAGGGGGGTTTAGGAAATGTGATAAAGCAACTGTATCAAATACATCGCTTATGTTTAATATATACTGTTAATTGATCAATGTGATCAATTACTAGATCTATGTCACACATTTACACTGATGATGGTGGCCAAATAAGCTCCCATTAAGCAAGTCTCTAGTAACAAGTGTTGTCTTTACAGCTCACTTATGACATTGAACTTGTTGTCATTTAGACCAGTGCTTTGAATCTTTTTGGAGTGTGACAAGAGAGCGGTATCCATGTGTGACACCCCTTGTTACACTTTAGAAGAAAACAGCTCAAATTTAAGAAATGTCACTTTAGTATCTCATTCATCCTCTCAACTTGTGACCCTCCAGCTTTATAATGAGACCCAAGAGGAGCCCCAATCCTCAGGCTGAGTCAGGCACACGTTCACCTTAACTGACACCATGGTATTAGTGACACATGCTAAAAGGTTAATTTACCTCTTTGCAAGAATTTCAACAGGTGTGAAATAGCTTTGACCAGTAAGAACATTTTGAGGGTCTTTGACCTTCTCCTGACGACGTGCATCTCATTATAATGCTCTGTGGTCCTCCTCTTTTCCTTCACCAGAAGTCTGGCTATCTTCCTGTTTGCTTGCTGTTTCCTCTTCCTGTGTCACAGGTTGAGAGTCTGAAGTTGGACTAGTAGGCTGTGATTGGTCATTGGCTCCTTGTTCCCTCCCTGTCTCCTCGCTCAGTGTCTGCAGAGCCTCTGTGTTGCGTTCTTTCTGTTCTTGTGACCCCTCCATACTAACAGATGCATTTTCATTTTTGCTTTCATCTTTACTCCCGTCCCGACAAACCTGCCTCCGAATAGTCCGTCTGTGCTTGCTGCGACGCGACTGGTTACAGTGCAGTGTGCGTCTGCGATGCCACTGATTGAGAGACTGTTGGGCTTCCACACTGAGCTGACGGGCAGCCAGTCGTGGGCGGAAACTGCTGATGTAGTAGAGAGAGGCATATAGAGTTGTAAGGTAGTAGCCACCTGTTGATATGGGGATATAGAAAAAGGTGACATTGAGTGAGACAACCTATAAGCAGGGGGGAAACTACAAAACTACAACTACAAAGTGTCATCATAAAGTTCCACACATGTAGGGGGACTGATTAAACCCAAAGCTTAGCCCTTGGGAGTACACTAAATGCTCATATTTGTTTGTTCTTTGCGCTGTGTGACATCCCAGGCATACAGCTCTGAGGCTGCGAGAACAGAAACACCATCCACTTGCTGTTTCCTGTGTGCGAGGGGCAGCCAATCAAAAGAAAGATCACTAAAACAAAGGGGAGCTAAAACTGTTTTTTTCAGACAGCTGAAAAACTAAAGGGCTGCACCAAGGACAAAATTAAGAAAACGTAAGGATTATTTTAAGTATGCAATGCCATATTAGTAGTGCAAGAATAAAATTATAAGGGTAAGGCCCTCTATAGTCTATAGTCATCTTTAGACTTTAAAAGGCCATACTTTTTAAGTTCATGTACATCCAATCATGTGCAGTCAGGATCTTGGAGGACTACACAAGAGCCACTCCTCCATCAAAATTTAAACCGGTATGCAGATGAACACATTTGCAGGACTATAAAAAAGGCTTCACTTAAAAGAATAAGCCCTTAGTCACGTGGGCCTGGAGACCAGTGAGCAGCCATCATTAGGGAAAAATGTGCAAAGCCATTACTAGCAGATTGTTAGAGTTCCATGAAAAATGCGGACCTGTGTGCAAACATTTGCTGTTCACTCCCTGAGTAAACACATTTTAGCCCAGTTTCTTACTTTGCACAGTTTATTTACATTTATCGAGGAGTAAACACACATGTAAACTACTGGTGACTGCAGCAATCTGCTAGCCACCAAAGCAATCCCTTTGACCAATTCATCCTAGCAACTTCCAGCATCCACTCACAACCAGTCGGGGAATACACACTTCCTGATGATTTCCAGATAGTTGTTGACCAGGCAAACATAGGCATTACTGTCAGAGTGTGTTAGCAAGTCACTTACTAAGTTTCTGAGTAAAGTCAGAAAAACTTCTATTTAGTTTCAAACATGATTTACTCAAATGGAGCATCACACTTCCTCTACATTGTCCTTGAATTATAACTGGCTTACCCTCTCCTTGTAGCTGTGTGGGATCTAGCAGTTCCATCATGTAATCTGTGTCTACCTGCAAGGTGACCAGGTTGCTACGGAGCAGCACCCACGTCAGGCAGGGCAGGAAATCATCTGCTCCATACACTTTACCTGCTGTGAGGAGAACATGACTTTAAGTGGATATAGCAACCAAGCGACTCAAAGTAGAAGAGTGGTATTTACGAAACACTGCCAGGCTACCTGAGCTAGCATTGGCACTCATGCTGTGATAGATGCTCTTGCAGACTTTGAGCATGATCTCCACTTTCTTGTTTGGAGAGTAGACATCGTGCATATTATTCCATTTCTGCTGGATACGATCAAGCGTGACGGAGTCAGGAACTCCAACTCCTGCTGAACCTCCTAGTTCAGTCACCTCGTTCTTTTCCAGCAAGCGCAGGTTGCTCTGGAGACGCTCGAAGGTGCCATCATTGGTTCGGGAGGTTTCTATGCAGGAGTAGAGGTGGCTGGAGACAGGCTTCAGAGCCACTTTGTGGATGGAGAGCTCCACCAGGGTGTCTACACCAGGATCAAAAGATAGCAGAGGGATAATTATTGGAGCACTAAGCGTTCAACCACAAGGTTTTAAGAATGCAAAACATATATTCTGTCATTTATGCTGACAACAAAAACCTAAAATCATTTCTGTGTTATGTCACAGCCCACTCACCAATCTCTGAGTCGTTTAAGTCAGTTATGCTTTCCAGTAACATCTGGATTTCTGCATATTCCAGCAGTGTCTCCCTCAGTGATGTGAGTGATAATCTCACTTCCTGTAAGAACTCCGACCCTGTGACACCGCTAGAATCAGTCCCTCTCTTCGATGTCATCTCCACAAATCCCTTCACAGCCTCTGCAAATGCAGCACCTTTCTTCTCACTCAGCTCTTGCACACGATTGGACAGTCTTTTTCTCTGGCTTACCAGCCCACCCAGCGCCTGGCCCACGGCAGAAAGGCGATGTAGGACCTTATCAGCCAAACGGTGTGCTGAAGCGTGGTGATGTGACGAGCTTAGCATCTGGGGCTCCATCTCTTCCTCTATGCTGCTGATTGAAAGCGAGTCAAGCTCGAGTGATGGAGGCTGGAGCAAGGAAGAAGGCCTGGGTGGAGGCAGCCAGACGCCATCCTCAATCCAGGACACCCTGTGAGGAGACTGAGGCACGGGGCTGCTGTGGCGCTGCAACTCAGGTGTTCCATTTCTGGGGGTGGAGGAAGTGGATGAAGGTAGGCTCCCCGTGCTCACCCTCTGAGGCTGGGCGATTACTAAATCCCGACTGGGCCGCCGGAGGACCACCCCTGCTGGTGTTTGCTCAGTTGGTGCAGAATCAGCGGAACAGGCTCTGATTAAACCTGAATAACATCACAGTTTTTTGCAATGAATTTAACTGATCCCACTTACTGATATCACAAGTGACATAAACAGAAAGACAGGACTGGCATTTTAACTATTTCTGAAATATGATGTACCTCTGACAGTCTCAAAAACAACCATAGGAATTAGTTTTGTCCACTTGCTACGCAGGGCTAACTTGTCAGAGCTAGCAATTAACAGTGTGGTCAAGCCATGTGCAAGTGTGGAGCAAGACGACAGAACAGCTGACAATGATTAAAGTATTTTAATAAGTGCTAACCCACATGAATGCTTTTTGTGGTGATATTTCCATTTAGTTTTAAAAGCTCGCACAAAGCCACTTCCTGTTTGCACCAGACACAGTGGATTTTTTTCTCCCCCTGACCTGCAGGAACAGCATACTCTCTGTGGCCCAGGACTTCCTGATTTAGAAACTCCTGTGTTTTTGCCTCTCACACACTTCAGCAGAACTGACCAGGACTGCATGTACAAAATGTATGGAAAACACAGTTACGAGTTTATTGGTAGGCTTATTTTTTATAAAGGGAAGAAAAGGTTTTTAGGGGTTTAAACAGTGCAAGGAGAGGAACTTTAAGTTCAAAGCATCTCCTGATCTGGATAGATAGAAGCATTGTTTTCCAAAACTGTGAGGGGAAATGAAACTACACTGTCTAACATTGCTGTTCAGAACTGAGGAAGCTTTTTTTTATATTGGGTGAAATCTGAAGTTGGTGCACTGACCTGAGCTCTCTGTATTGGGAGCAGGGGTTTCTTGCTCCAAAGAGATGGCTCGTTTACTTTGTAACCCTGCGCCTGCCCATTGCCGGGTGGTGCTGAGGCGTCTGAAATTTGACGGCTGTGCGGCAGCTGGCCTGTGGGTCAGCCACTCGTCTCCGTGTTCACGGAGGTAGAGGGGATTGATGATACACAGGGCCCCGTTTGTGGACGTCAGCTAGTGAAAAAAAACACATACATACAGTGTTAACAGGATAGAACGCAACATTGGTTACATAATAGACACATATAACCACTTTAGAAAGTTAAATTATTCTTAATTTAAATATTCTTGTGGGCACCTGAACATTATTTTGGAGTGGTGCTTCTGGTTGCATGATGAATGTTCTGTTTCTGAGACAATTACCAGGCTATTGATTTACCAACTGAAGGAAGTAAAGACACCATTTCCCCTTAAGTCCCTCCCCCTCCCTCACAAAAATCTACACACACGTAGATAAGCAACATACCTGTATGGAGCACATCATGCTGCTTGGTTCCCTTTGGGACATTTGATCAGTCTGTTGATCAGGCGGTGTGGAAAGCCAAGTTTCTGCAACAGAGATATCAGTGAAATTAGCTGACAAGGCTCCTCAACACAGTTTTGTATTGTTTTGTTGAAGATTATGAAAGGCAAAAGCTCAGGAAGGCCCGGACGCACTAGGTTCAAGCTGTGAAAGACGCTCTTTTTTTGTGTCTGTTACGCTGTAGATCCAGCGAGGAATGTGGAGACAAACATCCAGCACATCCCTGAAACACAGAGGGAGAGAGATCCAAGAGATAAACAGACAGGATTTGGTTAAACACAGGTTCGAACAGTCTTTCACAATGTCCACAGTTCCACCAATAACCAAGCATGGAGAGTTTTTTATGTAGCTGAGACAGGAGATTCTTACCTGGTCAGAGAGTAGAAGAGCACCAGCTGAGTCAAGTCAGAGAAAGACAGATGAGACTCAGACAGTTGGAAAACTGTCAGAGAGAAACAGAAAGAGTGGGCAGCTTTAGTCTCATTCTGAAATGCTCTGGTGAAAAATACTTTCCTGGAAATGCACCAAAGTTTATACCAGAAAAAAACTAAAAGGGAACTTAAGATAAGCCAGCGTTAGGGTTTCACATATTTCCACAGTAGCTTTACAGCTTGATTATTTCCTGGCAGTGTGTGGTTTATAAAGCCTGAAGAGGGTGTTGCAGGCTTGAGGAGTCAGATGACCCTTTAGTGTTTGATTTTTTTTAATCTTTTAGATACATCATGTAGATCAGTAAGTGGAAAAGTTTGGTAAATAAATAAAATAGGACCAGAGTTTTATGTTTTAATCTGCATCAATCTACAATAACTGCCATGTCTGCAGGTACACAAACCTGAGAAGAGAAAGTGCAACCATGACGTTACTAGGTTATTTTCTATTTATCGGTTCAGTTTGACATGTTTGACAGAAGTACTGACTCATAAAATAACCACTAAAAATGACGCAGGGAAATTGGTAGCTTGGTCACACAGACACACACACAAGCACAAGCACATACATGCACGCCCGAGCGCACACACACACACACGCACAGATGTTTGCATGTGGCGGGATCCTACCTGCTCCTGTGCATTTGATATTATAATCAAAGACTTCCTCATTCTGCGCTCCGGCAGACACACACAGCAGGCTTGGCTGAGACGTCACAGAGTCCCGCACAACCAGGAAACTCTGCAGGGAAACACACGTGTGACTCATTTAAAGATTTCAACTGTCACAGAAACCTGTTAAGCAGGAGAACGTTTACTTTTAACCCTCTCAGGCTCAAATTAAACTTTTTGTTGCTAATGCACAACCAAGTCCTGCAGTGGTACTTCTGAGTAAAAAAAACTCATAAAATATATATGTGGGGTAATCAGGTTGTTAGTTTTTAACTGTTGCAAATCGGCAACGCCTGCCTCGAGAGGGTTAAATGTTCACGCTGGCAGGCTACAAGGCGTGGCCAGATGGTAAGCAGGCAGCAGTAAGAGAACAACTGAGTGATGGATGGACACAGAGAGAAAAAAAACTATTTTAGCGTGTGGTTTACAAAGAAATGTGTCAGAATTTCTGTGACAAGAGTCAATTGATTTGATCTCGACGTGACAGAGCGTCATGCACACTGCAAATGTCTAAGGGCTCATGCATTAAGTGCTGATAAGTGTTTGTTTGCCCACTCAGAGATGCTGATATGAATCTGTAGATGATGGTTAACTCTGAGTGACGAACCAGTGTGGCTTAGGACCGCTCACATCACATGATTTTCTTTAACCATGTTCTATTCTTCATGTTTTATTTTGCGCATGCATCAAAACTAAAACCTGAAACTGAGCCCCACAACACTGTTAGTGCGCAAATCCATCTTCATTAAAACCAATCAAATCCTATACAAGAAAACCTTGAAAACCGAGGGTTTCAAAGAGTGGCCCACAGGCCGGTGGCAGGACTCGTTCATATTTCATGCAGCCCTTGAGTCTGACAAGAAGAGAGAGCTCTCTACTGTGCATTTTATTCACTCACAGTTCACACCACATGTGTGATACAGCAGCACACACCACGACCCCAAAGATGTTGTTTCTTTTCTAGCTTCTGTTTTAGCCATCAGAGCCGACTAAACTGTCTTAACTCATGGTGGAAAAACTATAAACCAGTACAAGAGTGGACTAAAGTAAATAAACACAAATGCTAACACAAAATGCCACCATCTTCCGAACAACCATAATCATAACGATAACTAAAAGAGTTTTACGTGTGTAGTTTCCTGCCCAGCTTTCAACCATGTGCTGACTCCTTAAACTGGCACTCAGGGATACCTGCAGCAAAGAAATATGTCGTGCAGAAATAGACTGTAAGTTCAGGGTAATTTATTACTGTAGAAGTACAGGGTTATTATACAGTAATAGGGATTATTAACAAGTAGAGATCATTTATGACAGTCTTCTCCGGTGTGGCATCCTATTAAATTCACCTGAAGACCGTGCAATGCTCAGAGAAACTGCAGAAAACCCAAGAGCTACATCTAATACCGACACCTCAGTTAGCACTAAATGATACAGTACGATTATAAAAGGACTGAATGGCTTGTATGGAACAGTTGCCAGGAGAAACCAGAGCCTAATTTTGCAAAGTTGGATGTGAACAAACCACAAGACTTCTGGAACAATGTTCTCTGGACAGATGAGACCAAAGTGAAGGTGATTGGCCGTAATGCACATCGCCACGTTTGGCAAAAACCAAACACAGCTTTTTTAGTACAGAAACCTCATACCAGCTGTCAGGCACGCTGGAGGAAGGGTGATGATTCGGGCTTGAGAACTGGATACTTTGCATTACTGAACTCCTCTGCAAGTATTTTAGAGTCAAATGTGAGGCCATCTGTCTGACAACTAAAGCTTGACCCAGAGTGGGTCATGCAACAGGACAATGATCCCAAACACAGCAGTGAATCTATGACAGAATGGCTGAAAAAGAAGAAAATGAAGGCATCGGAATGGCCCAGTCAAACTGCCCACTCTCTGTGTGACTTTATTAGTTTGAAGAAATACTTCTGCTAAAGGTGGGTTTACAAGCTAATGAATCAGAGGATGTACTTTCTACTTGATGTTATAGAGCTGATAAACAATGACAGTATGACATTTGTTGTCGTTCATGTGAGGTTGCATTTGAATAATTTGAAGACCTTCTAAAGAGCAGATGATCTTTATATGTGCTGACATGCAAAACCTTAGCAGTGAAAGTGGCTGCACTTTCTTTTTCGCATTACTGTGAATAGGGTCTTGCAGTTAGGGCATTTATTTTTAGGTTCTTACTCTCAGATCATATCAAACTCATTCTGTCTTTAAACGTGCCTTGTGACTAGCTTTTATAAAGGCCTCATTGAATCAGGCACTGCTGTAACTCGAGCGGGCTAACGTGATTCATGTATTTTAACTTAGATGGCATAAAAATGTACAAGAAACAGGATCAGTTACAGTCAGTGATGAGGCTAAAACGTTGTACTGCTGACTCTAGCCTCGTCAGTGATGGTAAAAGACTAATCTTGTTCCTGGTATTTGTCCACTTTAGAAAAAAATGTGAAGTGTTTCTGTTTCTGGTGTGAATATCTCAAGAGGCCCTTTCACTTCTTCATGTCTCCTTTTATACACAGAGCTTTGCTTTGTCTGCACAGAGACTTGCATCGATCATGACACCTTTTTTGGAAGCAAAGACAATAAAACGGCCAGTTGAGACACAATTAACTTGAGTAAAGCAAAACGCATGTAATCCCAGGCAACGGCTCTGTCAAGTAGTTACATCATCACAGCCAAATTCAAAGGTGCTCTTTAGACCAGCACACATTTACAAACATGTACAGAGGAAGTGGTTTTCAGGCTCTGTGTGTACAAAAATAAAGACTGACAAGCTTACTTGAAGTCACCAAACTCTGAGCACAGAAACACACCGAAAGACAGCAAAAACGGCAGCAATTAGGAAAAATATATCTTCCACTGATTCATAACAGCCATCTTACTGTTTGCCATTCATAAAAACAAGAAGAAATGAGTCAATCAACCCTCCCTTCCAACATCTGATTGAACAAAAGTCGACTACAACCTCCACAGCATTCTGCTTATCACATTATGCCAGTAAACTTGTCTCTTAACACTTAATACAAAACAAAAAAAGCACACTCCTCCTCCATAACACATTTGTCACGGCTCAACGACTTGTTGCTGCCAGTCAGAGTTTTGCATTTCAGTGTAATTGTCTCCATGTCACGCTTTATAATAACCGAGAACAATGAATACGTAAAGCATCATACGTTGTTACTTTGTTACTTACATTCCCTGCGAGTGCAGCAGCCAAACCCACCATGAAATGTCATTTCCCTGACATGAACTCGCTTTTATTCAGCACGACTTCTGCATTTAAAACCGTTCGTTGTGTTATCAGACCTCAAATAGAAAAAAAAGAAGGAACTACATTTAAGTGACGAGTGCATGTCAACATTCAGACCCACAAAAAACACTTGGTTGCTAGAGAAAATGTAAATGATGCCCGCGACTTCGAGCTTGGGAACGCAAAAAGCAGCGAAACTGGGAGAGGAAGCAGAAGAGAGGACACACTGGGAAGTGGGAGACACTGGCGGGAAACTGAGAAAAAAATAAAGAACTAAGATTTCTTTTTTTAAAAATAGTCTAAAAGTAAATGCAAAGTAAGTAAGTCATTAAATGTAAAGTTGTTTTATTGCATAAGAGTTGTCAAAATTGAATCGACTGAGTAGCAGTTGATTAAACTGGTCAAATTCTAATAAAATATGACTATCAAGTGGGCTGTTATAGCAAATGCCGTAATGGTCCAATTGGGAAAGTGAATCTGTTGGGCGTTTTTTGGCCGTCGGACAACGATTCTGATCGCCACACTGCCAAATAGGACAAGGGGAAAGAAAAAAAACTGAGTAGCAGGCAATGACTAAGATCAAGGACGTGTGAGGAAACAGAGTCATTATTTAGTGTTAGTGGGAAGCTTTACAGGGAGATCCTTGAATGATTTGATCAATCATCTGGACTTCATTTGACACACACTGGACGCTTGATGTCACATAATAACAGCGAGAGTCATTCAGTGATGTCTGCTCCTACCCCAGCAGGTGTCCCACAGATAGCAGCGTGAGCCCCCTCTCTGTCCCAGGCTCCCCCAGGGCACCAGGCCTCCTGGCAGCCTTTCAGCTGATCCAGCAGTGACAGTTTCCTCCTGCTGCTCCTCCATGGGATGGCTGTTGTCCCATTAACTGAACTGTGAACAGCCCTGGACACAAACACATTGACATATTTTTGTCTACATCTATGGACATCAGCTGTAGATAAAACAGAAGGTCCATTCAGTAAAAAAGACAATCTGGGTAGTTAACAGTGCATAATTCAGCAAAAAAAAGTATACAAAACTAAGAAAGTTTCCTCTAAGATTTGGCTTCTGGGACAATCATTTTTAATAACTAGACATCAAACTCAAGACAATGTTAGACAGAGAATTAAACACAAGCACATTAGTGGTATAGAAATAGCTGATACTCACATGTGTCAGGCTGGCTCGGTTAGTTGGCGTATCTTCCCTCCTTTACACTGTTAGCAGTTTCTACACATATTGCAATCTTCCCACTCTTGAACTCTTTCTTTCTGCGCAGTGCAAAGTGTTGCTTAAGAGTTCAGAATAGCTGAAATAGGAAGCTGTCATCTTTCTCACTAACACGTCGTCAAAAGGTTTCGCGGCAAAATTTTCTTAAGTTTCTCAAATTCAGGTATTTGATGTACGGCTCTCATGCTCGCCTGCTTCTGCCTCCTGCTCACGCTGGCATTTAATGTAGTTTCAATTTTCATGTGAATGTTCACGACACCTTCTTCACCCTTCCCTCCCCCCTCCAAGTCTGCCTGTGGTTAACCCAGCTCTGACTACAGCGTGGAGAGAGAGAAAACACTGCATGTTCTCTAAAGAGCTATGTGCCTATTTTCTTACTCTCTCTGCAGCACCTTTCTTCTGATCTGATTCTGAACTGTAAAACCATCAAAGCTAAGAACAGCCAATGGTCTGAGAATGCTTCACCATGTCTTCATCTCTGTGACAATTATAGACAAACATCATCTGATTAAAGTAAGATCACACGGATGGTTTTACTTTTCATGTGTGAGAACTCGCTCACAGCGGAGGATGGACAAAGTCATTGAGATTCAGTTCCAACAACTGGTGAGAAATGCTGAGTGTGGGAAGAGTAAATGGATAAATAAATAAAAGCATGCACAGTGAAATTATTGAAAAAGTCTGAAAGATTGATTAGTGATATAAACGGTTTTTTGGGGGGTTTTTTAAAGACCAGATTATAACAAATATACAATAAGAAAAATGTACACAAATGAATTTAAAGCTACTCTACTTCTTGTCAGAGTGCGGCCTTTAAAGCCTGATTTTCTTGGAGTTCCTGGGCTGGCTGATCCCTCTGGATCCACCCCTGGATGAAGTTTCACCTGGTTTCCTCCTTCCTACCTGTTTAAGATTATTAATCATTATTATATCTGCGCCAATTCTTTGCCAGGTCGTCATTGGTGAACTTTAGGTCACTTTTGTAACTATTATTGTTGTTTATGATCATCTGTCTGTAGTAATCCTGTCTCTCTCCCTGCTCCCAGCTCTCTTGGAAATCTTGCCTCCTTGGAAACACACTTGTCAGCTGCCTGTGGAAACCTCCAGCTCATCACCCACTCTCTGTAACGTGTGAAGAAGAAGGAGGACTCACCTGATCACCAGCCTGCCCACCCTCTGCCTGTTGCTAGCTTTTGGCTTGCCACCTGCCACCCACAGACGCCCTCCATGACTCCATTCATGTACAGTACAAGTGTTGTAGCTACATTTACATTTTACAAATTCTCTGTCAATACTATGCCTCTTCTGAACTGCTGTTAACTCTGTATTTCCTCTCTGGCAGAGCTCCTCTCCACTAGTTCTTCACAGTGATCACAACAAGAGCGCAACAAGCTACCCTAAAACAATCCAATGGTAAAAGCAATACACCTGCAAATATCAGGTGAAGGATAAAATGCTGTACAAAAATTACCGACGTGTCTGAATGTTCCACCGCAGCTACGGGACGCTGTTCTGTGGGTAGACGAGCGATAAGGAACGCTGTGTTCAGAGGAAGATAGCACAGCACACCAACATGAAAACCTCACTCTAGCTGTGAAGCACGGTGGAGGGAGCATCATGGTTTGTGGCTGCTTTGTTGCCCCAGGTTGATGGAAATCGTGCATTCATCGAGGCAACAATGAATTTTAATTGCATTAAGAATTCTTCAGAAGAATGTGAACAAAGTATGAAGCTGTGGAGAGTTTTGGTGACAATAACCCAAAGCATGAAAAGTGGACCAACCACAGTATGGCTGATAAAGAAAAAAAGTGTTTTGGCATTTCCAGCACAGACCTGACCTCAGCCCAGCGGTTCTCAAAGTTTGTCTGGCGTGCCCTACTTTAGACACTGAAAATAGTTCACTCGCCACACACACTAACCCCACAGTATTTTATAAACCATTATCAATTAAATTAAATTCCAAAACGTTGATTTTGTTCATTTGGTACGTCCAGATCAACAGAATCTTTTGGGATTTCCTTACCTGAATGATTGAGTATACATTTGTGGTTAATATTTCCTCTTCACCTCTTTGTGGGTCACATAAGCATCTACAAGACACATCCGATGGAGGTTTTGCTGCTAAAGGAGGTGCAAGTAAGCAAACCTAGTGTAGTTTACTCACTTTTGCCAGCCTGTTACGTGAGTGATTATATAACATGTTCAAGATCTGAATGGATTAATTTAGTCACTTTGTCCATATTTGCACCTTACGGCTAATTGCATTTTAAATAACCAGTGTATAAATACTGGTAATTCAAAATCAGTTGCACTTTTTCTTGCAACTTTATTTAGAAAAATAGAAGTATTGGAAGTAAAGACTGGGCTGAACATGTCTGAGGCTATTTTCTGTCATGGTACCTCATCTCAGCCTTACGAAGAAACCACAGACTGAGGTGTTGCTGTTTGGTCACCATTTCCGTGGCAAGCAGACTTCTAGTTTTAGTTTTAGAAGCAGCATTGTCACACCTGCAGCTTAAATCATATCCTGCCAACACCATGACACTAACCATCAGTTTAAAACCAGGTTAAAACTTCCTCCCCATTGTCGATGTTGCTTAGTTTGTAAAAAACTACAGAACCAGAGATTATGCACATTCTGATACTTTCAGATCAATGCATGCAATCATAAATAAAAGCGACTTTGGGAGATCCTTGATGTTTATCTACTGCTGTCATCGGGTCTGAAATGGGTCATGCAAAAGTATTTTGTTCTTATTGAATGCTTGCATGTTAACACATCTACAAGGCTAAAAATAAACTGCACACGTTAGCTTGTGTTAGTATTCACCTGAAAATACCAGTGTGCAAAGTAAAGCCTTGAAAGCACGGTAGCAGAATTTCATTCAGTTTACATCATAACAAACTATATCTGGCAATACATTGGGGTAATTTAATGTGCACTGACATGAGGCCACCTTAAAAATAGACCTATAATGATAATTTCCAGTTCCATATTTTATTCTCAGACTCTAAAAAAGGTTTCGATGAATCTTTATTAATCTTACAACCGTATGCAAATGTTTAAGTATTATTTAACCTGGTCATGCTTTGGGCAAATTCATATACTTAATGACAAATTGGTATGAATGATTTCTTTCACTTTAATATGCACCCATATAGTAAATTAACTTTCATTATATTGCATATTTACGTGCCTTTGCGATTTACCTGTATGACAGTACATGACAACAACATACACTTGACAAAAATGCGGGGGCATTAAGAGACAATTTTTCAGGCTTGAGTTAAATGTGTTAAGTATATTTATACAGCATTATGAAGCATAGAGGTAGCTTCCGGCTCAAAAACATGAAGGTGTGGAAGTGACTTAAACCTGCGTCCCATCTGAAGGCCACTCGATAGCAACAGCTGTGGTTGCAAAAAGGCTTTCAGTCCTGTAGAGGTGTGTGGTAAAACAGCGTTCTGACTTGACCTCTGTGAACACTTTATTGATGAGTTTATGGGCTCAGTCGCTTGTTTTGTTGTCTTTGTCATACATTATTTAAAAATGTAGAATTATCTATGATCATAACATGGTAGCTACAGTCACCTTGTGTACTGTCTATGGCAGGGGTGTCAGATATTACGCCCTAAGCTGAAACATAAGACTTACACTTTTCATAGGTTTTACATCTTTGCCTCTTAGTGAAGAGGTCCCCCAGGACCATTCACACTACACCAATGTAGTTAACTATTATAGAAATTTGTTTTATTATTACAGGACAGTCTGGGCAATTATATATTAAGATATTCCAGGGATTAAATATGCCATTACACTTCTTTACACCGAGACTGAATGTGGCCTATACTGTAAAATGAGTTTGACATCCCTGGTCTATGATCTGCTTTGGCTCCTCCTCTTCCTTTAAACCCACCTTTCTTGTCATTGACTTCTTCGTGTAAACAGGAGGCTTAAGCAATATGAAGGTGGACCTTCGATGTTCACAGCCAACGCTGTGTGCCTGATGTGACCCTAATAAGCTCCTTTCTCTGACATCATACAGAGCCAGGAAAAAACTGTTAGAAAACACCCATCACTGTAGTAGTGACAGAAACAGGGCAAGACCATATATTTCATGTTTATATAATGTGTGCACTTTTTTTAAAGTTTCTCAACAAGATTTTTTAATATTTTGAAGCATGACAAAATTAGGCACATGAGGCAGACTGTATCTTACCACGTTACCTAGGTTACTCTGTGTGGTGTATTTGGTGTAGTGTTTCTGAGCTCTCCTGTAAAATCTGTTTCCTTCTAATTAATCTAAGTTCATTCATTTGCTATAATGAAATGCCTGCAGAGCCTGCGAGAAGTTGGAAAATGTTGAAAAATAACAGCCTTTTTGGGGAAAACAGCATTCATTCTTATGCAGATTTATGCAGGTAGATGCTCCAAAAAACAATCTACACCATATGGGGTAGACTGAGGCTGCAGGGCTAAAGCGATATTTTCCTGTGTGACAAGGGCAGCAGTGGAGAGAGAGAAACCTCAAGGCCCTGGAAGGATGCTGTCATCAGGATGAAGTTTAGGAGATCCATTACACTGAGGTGTGATACATTGTTATAGCAGAACACATAATAAAGAAACAATATTAGCATTGATTGGTCTCATTGGTACCGGCGTACAAAGTTAAGCCACAAACATTCGCGACAGAAAGAGTCGTTCTAAAAATCTCACTTAATTCAAGAGTGCCATGGTAACGATTTAGGAATCACAGCAACTCAGGTATGAAGTATACAAAGCGGTGTTGCCGAGGTGAGGTGATGGTGTGTAAAAGTCACCAAGACCCAACATCTGCAGACCCCCCCTGGCTTTAACGTAAGCAGGAGCGTCATGGCAGTGGTTTCTGAGCAGCTCCTGTAGGTGTGTTGTGCATGTGGTCCTATACTTTGTCCATGTAGCATACATAACCACAGTGTAACCAACTCCTCTATGAAAGACTTAACAGAAGTGAAAATGATCAGCTTTGAAAAGGTAAAATTTATTGCAGGGGGTTGCACTGGTTCCTGTGACATTGTACAGATGTTAATGTTATTGCATCCACCCGAGTATTTTTAAACCCACAAATCAATTCATGATCACACAAGTTTACAATAAAACCAGATCTTCTCATGTCCCCCATGCCCCAAATCAACTTAGGTGTAGACTTTCTTTTGCATTTTTTACATTGCTTTTTTTTTTTTTAAACATCATTAAAAAAAATTAAACATGAGAGGAACATGAAAAACACGGTAAATTACAAATTGAGACATTTTAGAAGAGCCATGTGCCCAACTGCAGTCACCCATCAGGAAGTTAATTTTGTTAGTAGGAAAGTTATCAGCACAGCAGGTTTTGGCTTGAGGGAAATAACACAGCACCTAAAACAGCCCGCTTATCTTCACAGAAAAGATCATTTTTGATTAAACAAAATATCACATGTTCAATTGCTGGTTTGCATATTCGTCTGAGCCGCTGTGAAGTGCAATGGCGCCTGTTTTAGAGACATTAACCACAACGCACATGGGCACGCTATGTGCTACTGCAATACAGATAAATGAACAATAGGTTCTGTTGCAACATAAAATCTGCCGAGCCACAGAGAAAGTGATAAACAGTTTAGACTGAGTTAAAAAAAAAAAAAAAAAAAAAAAAAAAAAAAATGCAAATGACTGATATAAACAGATGTCAGAAAGTCCACCACAGCCTCGCTTCCAGGTAACCCCCCGATGCCACTTCAATCTGTGACATCACCACAGGAGCTTCATTTAATCAGGGAGCTTTTTATTGGTTACTCCTCAGCTTTGGGTTCTGGTGGCGCTGATGCAGAGCTCGCCTTGGCTGTCGCTCCTTTGTTTTCACTGGCCTTCTCTTTTGCATCCTGACTGTCGATCTTGGCGTGCTCCTTCTTCACCAGCTCTTCCAGCTCTGCCTGGAGAGACGTAACAAACAAGAGCTTTAATGCAGCTGAGTCACTGAGATATGGAGCCCAAAGTGGTGGCAACAAGAAAAGCTACAAGACAAACAGCTCAAGCTTTTTTTTTTTTTTTTGTACTGCGACACCTCTTCCATCAGGAAAACCACAACTTCACAACAATCTACAATAGGCTACCTTGACACTAGGATGTTTTTGCTGCTCAAAAACAAACAAAATAAATAAGAGCAGTTAAAAATCTTTAGACACATTGTTTTTTTCCTAAACAAAATCATCAAAGTAATCAACACGTTGTGGGCTACATAATCGCACAAAAAATCTAAAGTTCAAAATTTAAATCCGATCAGCTCAGTAATGTTTATGGCCTCCACATGCATGTACACAACATTCTAAAGGCCTCATGAGATGGTGAATGATGTCCAACAGGGTCTCCCTGCTGCTGTTTGGCTGCTTCAGATGCACCGATAGGATGCCCCAAAGGTTCTCAGTTGGATTCAGTTTTGGGGCATGTGAGGACCAGTTAATGCCATCAATGCCAGCATCATCTAAGAACAGCCTATGCACTCTGGCCACATGAGCACGGCTACTGTGCACGGCGACCATGGCTCAGGGGGTTGGGAAGCGTATCTGTAACCGGAAGGTCGCCGGTTCGATCCCCGGGCTCTCTGTCCTGGTCGTTGTGTCCTTGGGCAAGACACTTTACCCTACCGCCTACTGGTGTTGGCCAGAGGGGCCGATGGCGCGATATGGCAGCCTCGCTTCTGTCAGTCTGCCCCAGGGCAGCTGTGGCTACAACCGTAGCTTGCCTCCACCAGTGTGTTAATGTGAGAGTGAATGAATAGTGGCATTGTAAAGCGCTTTGGGTGCCTTGAAAAGCGCTATATAAATCCAATCCATTATTATTATTACTGTCCTACACCAGGAGGAACACAGGATCTTCGCTGGCATAATGAAACTTTCATCTCAGTACCTAACAGTAGTAAGCACTGTTGGCTAACACTGTCTAAGGATATGCCTCCACAGAACATCATTGATCCTCTGCCAAGCTGGTCATATCACATATCATTCACCACAACGTCTCCAGACTCTTTCATGCCTGTCACATGTGATCCGTCTGATCCTGCTCTCATCTGCAAGGAAAATGGGTCACCACTAATATAAGACATCCCAGAGGTTCTCAGCTAGCAGGTCTGGAGTGACAGACCCACCACTTCCTCTCTTGCAAAGGTTAATCGAGCTGCATGGTGCTGCACTATCAGCAAAGGTCCCACTGAAGGACACGAGGCCCTCGTGCTACCCTAATGTAGTCTGATTCTGACAGTTGTGTTAAATATGTATGAGTATGCGCTCTTGTTCCTCCTCCCACAAAGAAGCAGACACTGACCCTCCTGCTAGGCCGGCTTCTACTGCTTCTACTGCCCTGTGCTGCGAGGCACAGCAAACATCTGTGTGACAGCACTTATGGCTGTGCCTATGAGCTGAACTATCTGTACAATCTGAATTGACTGCAGGCACTGTGTCATCCTAACAGCAGTGACAAGGACACCAGCAAAATGCAGAACTAGATCAAAAAAAGTTAACAGCCGAAAAAAAAAAAGGGTAAGAAATGGTCCACACGCAAAGATTTTTTTAGTGGTTGTCACCTCTACAGTACAACTGTTGTCACTCTCATTTGCACCAAAGCAGGTGAAATGGACTCACAGTGGTTTCTGCTTCCCAACCAGACA